TGGATATTGGATGCTTCCAGTGTCCAATATTCCAGTACTGGACACTTCCCCTCTCCGTGCAGCTGTTCTTGGCAGCTGTTGGGATCAGCTGCGAGGCAGAGCCTCTTCTGCTGAGGTCACCAGGCTATACTTAGTGTGGAGGGGGGATTAAAATACCCCAAAGTACTCTCTTAGGAAACAACACCCCCCCCCCCAATTTTTAGTTGTTTTTAAACCTGCTTAAAGAGGGAAGGACGATAATTGTAGTTTTAGTGACCTGCTCTGGGTCAGGTGTGTCAGTGGCAAAGGAACAGGGAGCGTTGCTGACCTGTGTCACGGTCCAGCTGTAAAATAGTTGTCATTTAGCATTAAAAGCTTTCCCTCCTGTCCAGTTACTTTTGCTACACTGAGGCTGTAAGTCGCTGTCTGTCTACTCAAAGGGCTGCCCCAACACTTGTTCCAAGGAAGGGCGGGATGTTTAATGCCATGTTGTTTACGTGCACAGAGTGGAGTAATCCTATGATCTTCCAAGGGGATCTGCTGCCACGTCAAACACGGCCTCACAGCTCCCTACCTGCTGCATTGAACTAAAATTGTGGACTCCTTTTACAATACAGATTATCTCTTGTCTTTATGAAAGTGCAACACACCCTGACCCCATTCTTTTAGGAATACCCAAGCGATGGGGTCAGAATGGTTTAGAGGTGAAGTGTTTTGTGTGGTGCTCTGGAAAAGCAAATTAGCCATTCACTTCTGGAGGGCTAAATCAGATTTAGCTTCAGATCACAGTTAAAGAAAGAGCTTAATGCTCAGATGAATAACGGTGGATGAGTGTTGACGTGGGTTAATGTGATTCCCACTTCCCTGTTGTGTGATTGCCAGATTGGCTCCGTTCTGGACTCTGCTCCCGTGTTTGAAAGACCAGCAAACACTTTGGCGTGGACAGAGCCTGTGCTGGAGTCTTCTTTGAGGAGGACGTGAGCACAGCACCCTGCTGTGGTTGTGATCAGGAGAGGAAACAGCCACCTGCTGCACACATTTACAAACTTAGCAAGTTTTTAACTTTTATTTGTATAAGTACTTGTAAAGCAAAATGGTCTGCATGGAAAACAAGGTGGTGTTTAGGGTTTGGACACTGATTGACAATTTCTGCATTTATCAAATGCCCTTGAAAATCATGCCTAATAAACCTGTTTAATGATCAGGTCAGAGCTTACGGTTCAGAATGATTACCATAGATTATTTGCAGGATTGAATGTATAACAGCATTAGTTTGCATTTCTAGGAGTGTCACATAAGATTTCCTCACTTTGCCAAGGCCTAATTTCCCTAGTTTAAAGTACAGATATAGTGATATTTATGTAATTTCTCAGTGGTGGCACTCAGGACTGTCAGTGGCAATAATCTAAAATTCTCAGGTCAGTGTGAGTGAACTACGGTGGGATAACAGGGCACGTGAGTCTTACTCAGGTGAACACTGCACTGAGATCATTGACATATCAGAAGTTAATAGGGATCAAAATATAGAGGCCCAAGGCTGATTTGTTCTTAAAATAGCCCACATGCACATTTTATTTGATTTATTTTACACACACTGATTGACACTCTCTGAGTATCTTTGAAGAGCCAGCCTTTTCTCCACTTTGAAAAGTGCATTGAGAAGGAGAAGATTAGCTCTGTGAAAGAGCTGATTAATAATTAAAAGCCCTTTAAAATGGAGAACCAGCTCATAGAGCATAATTTTGTGGTAAGTTAATTTCTTGCAGAACAGGAAAATGTAACCACTCCTCTCTGCTATTTACACCTGACTTTTCTTTTTTTTCCGGAGCTTTATGACATTCTGAAACCTCTAAGGCTGAAACAGAGGATGAGCTCTCTCATGACAAGATGTGATCAAATTCTGTGGTTAATGCTGGTCCCTTTATACATAATTTTAGTACCTTTTTACAGCACATACTCATCCATTACCAGCATCTGGCAGCCTTTTAAGATCTTTGTAAAACTTCTTGGCCTAAGAAGTGATTTGCAGAGCACTTGGGCTTGCCACATAAAGGTGGTGGCCTGGGTGTGCATGGAGAATTGTACTTCCACACTGACTCACCTCTTTATCAAGATATGTTATACCCAACTATTTTAAGAAGTCTTAGACTTTTATCTCAACCCTGCTTTCACTGAAGCCACTCATAGCCTTGTGGGGAACAAGGCCTAGGTTTAGATATGAAACTACCACACTGGAGAATATTTTTCTGCCCCAGGACACATTGTTTTCCTGAGGGAACAAACAAAATTGGATCCTGACAATAACTGAGGGAATGCTGACTGTTATTTATTCTATAAGAGTCAAAGGCCTTCTCTTTTTTTTGCCAGAAGATGGCATTAACAATTTAGAGTTCTTGTAAGCCTCCTCTTGGTTTTTGCAGAGTCGATTTATTTTGAAGAACTGTGTATCTGTTAGAAAAGGCATCTTCAGACACAAAGTGTTGGATGAATTAAACTATTCTTTAATGAGGAGAAAGGAGCCTTTTTTTTTTTAAGAGCATCATTGATTGAAAGGCCAGAAAGATTTCACTGACAGCTGCAGTTTTCCCTGAATTCTCTCGTGTATGAAGCAGACCAAATCTTTTAGAAATTGTCTCAAATTTTGAAGCAATCAGAAATGCCGGAACCTGTCGTTATAACAACTGATTAATTTTTTTCCCTGGCTAATTAATTTTTTACTTCTTAATTAGTGAATGTTCTGTGTTCCTAGGCTGTGAAATTCCTTTTTGCGGATGGGAAGTCTTTGGAGTTATCCCCTGAAACCACTCAGATCCAGTAAGACTTATTTTGTCCGGGAAGGCAGATCTCAACGCTCATTAAGAAGCCCTTTAGTTGCTTTCACATGGCACAGGCCTTAGCCAATTAGCCATGCAGAGCTGCTTACATGGCTCAGTACAAACCTCCTGTGTTCTGCAGTTCCTACATTGCTTGGAGTTTCCTCATTTTGAGACTTCTTGTCACTTGTTACTCTGTATAATGAAAACCTGTTATTTCTAGCTATTTAAACATGTTTAATTTTTAATTAGAACCCTGACCTTCAAATTCATAGTTCTCCCCCCTTGTCTGCTGCTCCTTTTTTAGGAAGTGTATTCATTTTTTCCTTTTTTTTCCTTTCTTCTCTGTGCTGTGTTCAATTATAAGTCAAACTGAGGCTAACACTGACTTAGTTCTTGCACTGGGCTTTGGCCACTCTGTGTTTAACATAAGGATATATAAAAGTATAGGTGTAAATTAAGACACAGAGAGTAGAGAAAATAAATTTGTCAGATTATTTTTATTGGATTCTCAGTACTTTTGAGATTGGTGTCTTGGCTTTTGAGTTTTCGCTCTCCTTTCATCAAGCGGAACTTTCCCATGGCAGTGCATAGAGAGAGTCGCGCAGGACCTGTACTGGTTTTATATTTTAAGCCATCTTGTGTAGGAAAGGGAGTTTTTCCAAGACATAACTCTTCTTTAAATGAAGACTCAGGTTCCTGTGGAATTTAATCTGTTAGAGAAGTTGACAGGCTGTGAATGTGTGAGTGCTTGTGAAACCCTTGCACGTCTTCGTGTTTAGCCCCCCTGGTTTCTGGGTTTGCTATCCTCTGTCAGTTTTGATTTTCCCCTCCCAGGATCTCAGAACCTCAGCAGTGACTCTGACTTTACCTCAAGATTCAGAATCACATTACATACACATTAAATAAATCCAATTGCATACCAATGCTCTTGTCTTGAAGTTTACCTCTGCTCAATCTCAGAATTTTATCTACAGCATAAATTCTAACTTCTAAGTCATTTTAGATGACCTCTACTGCACCTTTTGACCTTTGTAATGTCTTATACAATCAGCACTTTATATTAGTCTTTTTTATTTTGTTGTTAATATTACTTCAACATAATGTATTAATTAATGATATGAACTCTAATTTGGGGGTGATATTTGGTGACCTTATTTTCTTAAATAATGTACTGTAGAGAGGCTTGAAAATCCTCACAAAGAATCTACCCTGAATTACAGGGAGGAAAACTTAGGTCTTAAATAACTTGATTTTGTTGAATCTTCTTGTAATTTCCAAAAATTAATAAGATCTGTAGTTGCTGAAGTCCTAGACTGTACAAAGATATAAGAAGACAGTGGGCAACAGATACTTGAAATGCTATCATTTTTCCTTTTTGTGGAACAAGTAAAAATATCTGCAGATATTAATCCATCTGGATACAGACAGCTGCACAATGCATTGCCAGTGAGACATGAGTGAAGAAGTTGAGGGTTTTTTGGCATACCTTTCAGTGATGCATGTTGCTTTTTTGGGTTTCCCAAGAACACAAGTGTGGCGTTCCAGGGGCATATATAGATTTAGAGAAATCCTGTGTTTCGGATTTCAGAGAATGTTTGGGTTATTCCGCCAAGGAGACTCAGAAGTGCTCTCAAGATTCATGGCATAAGAGAGAAACTTGTATAACGAAACTACAACTTTGCTATAGTTCATCTATAAGATAAATGGTCTTAATTAGGCAGCTTGAGGTGAGGAACAAATGCAATTTTTTTCTCCTTTGGTTAGTTAACCAGGGATAGCTGAACCACATTAGACCACGTGCCTTGATATTAAATTGAGTGTCTAAAATTAGGCATTTTACATTCTGCAGCTTGAGGACAGGGTTTCAGTAGCTGTGGCATTCACCAAGTAGACATCAGGCGTGCAGAAACTCTGCAGCAGTGAGTAACGTTGCCTTGTGCATTTCTTATTCATTGTGTATTGTATATAATTTTAAAAATAGTTTGATAGATAAAATACAGTCATTTCATGTTTTAGTTTATCATTATTGCAGTGTTCTGTAATGTTTATCAGTCTAGTGTATTATAAACTTGGAGTTAAACAAGCTTCTAGCCTGACTGGCTGGGAGGAAATGGCATCGTAGAAATGTGCAGTCTCTTCATGAGTTACTTTGTCAGACGTGATGTTTCATATGATTCTAATATTTATTTTGTTTGATTTCTTTTAGACTTTATCTTGAAGATGGCATCATGCCTTTATGAATGCCTTCGTGAGGCAGACCTCGAAAAATACTATCCGCATTTTGCTGCCTTTGGTCTTCAGAATATTGACGAGCTTGCCAAAGTTTCCATGGAAGATTACACCAAACTGGGGATCCATGACATGAACGACCGCAAGCGGCTCTTTCAGCTCATTAGAATAATCAAAATTATGCGAGGGGAAGGCATTGCAGACTCAAGCAAGCAGGATTTTCAACCACGTGGCCTTTTCATTCAGCCTCAGGTGGCCAGGTCAGGTCCCCGTAGGCAGCTGCGTTTTGAGTCCTTCTGTGAAGAGAATGATGGAACAGTTAAAGACTCTGAACCTGAGCTGTATCATTCATCCGATTTCAGTGCCAATGAAGAGAAGGACAGTGCAGGGGAAATGCTGGGACTCATTGAACCACAGGACTCAGAGCCAATCAGATTAACTAGAAGGGACCTGAATACCCCTGGAATATGCACAAAAAAGGACCTGAGCTGTCCAGCAGTTTCTGATGATATTGCCCCTCTCCTGGGGGATTCTGAAGCTCCTATTGTGCAAAGAGTAACTCATATTTCAGGGTATAATTACGGACTACCTCATTCCTGTATCAGGTAATGATCAGTCAGCTTTATTTTGCTAATATTTCAGGTTAGTCATAATTAATTCTTTCTTAATTGTGGAGGAGGATCTGTCTTTGTCACATCCAAATAAGCAATCCCAGCACTACAGAGCTGTGCAAAGTCTTGTAGACAAGAAAAGGATTAATAAGCACTTGCAACTCTCAGAGTCTGGTAGAAGGAATCATCTGAATTTGACCAGCTGCTGCTCACCAAGTTGTCTAAGAATAGTCTTCAGGGTATAAGGCTTTGTTTTCTTGGTGTTTTGGCCAATCTTTGTCCTTCCATGGGACCATCTTTTAAAACATTATTTTTCCAAAAGATGGCATTGTCTGTTGACAAGTTTGTCAAGCTTTTCCCAGTAGAAAAGATACACGCTGTGATGGCTATATTTGTTTCTAAAGAAATTTCTCAACTGAAATTTTAAAAGGAGTCAGAATGAGAATTCTGCGGTGGGTTTGTGGTGGTAAGAGGGATGCCTTGCAGCTGCTCCCCAGGAACATGGTCTGCAACTTCCATACTTTTCCTGCTGTTTGGTAACAGAAGGGCTATGATTAGCAGGAAATCTACCCTGGAAACATTTTTAAAGCACCAAATATTTTTTTTTTCCTGATGCAACAGTAGAGCTCCTCTGCACACAAAATACCAGTATCTTGGTTGTTGCAGTACAGTCATGGCAGTTTTGTTTTAAAATGCAGTGAGGAGAGGCAACTGTATGAAGTTGGAGCTGGTCTATGTTGGCTGTGGGAAAAGATTTGGTGTATGGGAGGATCCGCAGAGTTGAGGTATCAATTACAAATCCCATTGAGAAAACGTAGCCTGGAGGAATAGTTGCTGCTGCCACGGTGGAAAAATGCTAAGGCGACACAGTAATTAGAGCATTTAAACTGTGAAATGCAAGACATTTTATAACATGACAGTTTATAGCTCGCCTTTGCTGGAAAAAAAATCATTCCCACCTTCCAGAGAAGTGCACTAACCTCTTGTATATATTGTATATATATCCTGGTGCATTCTCTGTCTCTTCTGGAAGTTGAGCCAAGTGCAAATAAAAGGAGAGGATTTATAGTGCTGGCACATAAAAAATGCTAAAATATAAAACCTAATGTCTCAGCTAGAGAAGGAGTTTGAGATTTGTAATCCTGCAGTAGAGTCTTCATTGTTGTCATTTTCTTTCCTTGTTCTTCTGTTTTCTTCTTAAGCGCATTTTTCTGTGCCTAGCATTATGGTTCATCTTGATATGCCTCCTCCTGGTATGCCTCAGTTTTCTTTTCTCCTGTTTGTAGAGTTGTGCATTTCAGGCTTGGTCCAGCCTGCTGATGCTTGGGTTTGTAATTCCTGTTTTTCAAGTGCCCAGCTGCTTCACTGAATCCATCCATTCCCATGTCACCTTGTGATCTGGCCACTGTGAAGGCTAATATAATCTCATCCATGAGAAATATTGTAAAACAATGACATGATTTCATATGGCAGAGAGATAAAGAATTTTTTTAACGTTTAAATTTATTTTGCACTTGCCCACACAGCAAATGACCTGATAGGGCATAGTGAGACTTCCGATCTGTTATCTAGTCAGGTTTCTAATGACCTGTGTCAAGACTTTTGTTGGTTTTTATCTAGTAATAAAAGTTATATTGTATTATTAAATACAATTTATATTTTAAAAAGGTTAGTAGGAAATACAGACCTCAAGTTTGGCATATATAATTAACATGCACTCTGTTCCCATACAAAATATACTTAGCTAAGTGTGCTTTTGTACCAGAGAGAATTTATGCCTTTTTGCTCATTGCCATAGCCTCCAAGTCTTTAGTTTCTCTTTTGTCATCAACACTGCCTCCTTCAAGCTCTTAGAACACAACAGGCTCTCTCTGCAGGTCACTGAATCCAGCCTCTGACTCAAGAATTGAACTTCAGAGCCTCTGGTCATTTGCTGGACAACATTTGGTGCCAAGTGATAAGCTCACAGCCGCTTATGAAGCCTCTTATTTCAAGTATCACTGCCTTTCATTTCCAGGGGAGGAATTTTCCACTTAAAAGCAGGGCCTGATCCTGGTCTGCATGGGAGAGCTGCACTAAAATTAAATGGAATCCAGTTACAAGTAAAGATTGTAACTGGTGTGCGGTCTTCAAAGACCATGTCTTGAGATGTCATGTGCTTCTGGGGAATGGAGCAGCACAATAGGAACGATACCACAAGCTGGTAGTTGTGATGAGATGTTGAGTAACCTCTGGGTTTGATTTCAATTTATTAGACAACTAGTATGTGTTAGTTTTCAGTTGCTACAGTAAGAGATTTTGGCATTCGGACAGCATGGCAGAAACACAACTTTTGGGCAAGTTGGGGCTTGATGAGTTGAAACTCAAATCCAGGCTGAAAATCGTTACTCATTTGGCTGAAGACAGCTTGAAAAAGGGAGAGGTGTAATGAATACATTATTGTTAAATTCAAGGCTGTTCTTTATGCTGCATCACAAAATGCTTTACACAGCAGATTAATCAATGAAACATGAAATGACCTCTTGTTTCTGAGGTGTCTGGAAGGGAACTAAAGTAGACTTGCCAAAACATAAGGGCACAACTTTGTCGGTGGTCTGAAACCACACAACTTTTTACAAAAAAAGACCAAAGAGGAGACAATGACATACTTCAAATTTTTTTGAGCTGAATAGGAACATTGTGATGTTGTCTTATTTCCCAGGTTGGGTCATTTACTTGTAACCTGTTTGTCAGTCTATAACAGGAAGAATGAAAGTCCAGCATAGGAGGAAAAGCACCTAAATATTATACCTTCTCCTTTTCAAGATCTATTCATACTTTTATCTGCACATTATTAAGTGACTAAGCTTGAGTGCAAATAATTTCAGCAAAATGAAGTTTCATTACGTTAACATGCCAGCTTCCATCACATACTTTTGTGCAACTGAAAAGATGCCAGTACAGCAACGAAGATCAGGAATGTGGCTGTACAAACTCAACCGTTCTTTTAACAGGAGTGCACAAAAAGCATCAGCCTGATTAGGAAAAAAACATCAGAAAATTCACCTGTAAGAGTGAGGTGTGTTAAGGAGTTTTTTGATAAGCATTAAAGACAGAAACATTACCTGATAAAGCTAACAAGCTCAGGCATATGCTAGATTCTGTTGTAACCTGATTTTAAAATGTAAACCTACACTGTTGTTGTAGATCCAGTACTTCTGAGAAAGAGACTCCGTGGACAGAGAGTGAGAAAATCAGAGTGTGTGTCCGAAAACGTCCTCTAAGCCTGAGGGAGGAGCGACGGGGGGAGGTGAATATCATCACAGTGAAAGACAGAGAAACCCTGCTGCTCCATGAGAAGAAGGAGGCAGTTGATCTTACACAATATATTTTACAGGTAATATGTTCCACTGGAATGTTAAGTTTATGGGCTGGTCACGTGTGTGGAAGGGTAAAGCACCTTGTGCTTGGAGTTTCCATGAGGGAAAACAGAGAAGGGCTGTCAGCACTGAAATAGATGGTGGGCTTTTCTGCTGATTTATGCCAACCTGTGACAGAAAACCTGAGCCTGGAATTTTAAGCTCTAGAAGTGTCTCTTGCAGCTTTCTTTGTGTGTAGCAAAACAACCCCTCTTCTACATGCCATTGCTGCAGGAGAACTGCCTGCTGCAGAGCCCACTGATGGCTTCCCAGGGTATTCCAGTGAGGAGTTCCTTTTCCACTATTTCAGCACTGTAGATCTGTTTCAATAAATCACACATCCTCATCCCCTCCATTCCATTGTTCTCAAATGCTCTTGAAAATTAAGTTCCCTTTTGGTCTTTGTTTCTTAATCCCGAATGCTTTGTGCCATCATAGTTCAAATTCTCCATTTTGACTGGCAGCACCAGGAAGAGAACTGATTTCTAGAGAGCAGCAAGCCATTCTCACTCTACTGGGTGTTATTTTTGCAGTCTGGGTCCTAGGAACAACTGTTTGGAGTAGCCAGTGAAAATCCAGTTTGCAGCTCTCTCGGGTCCTGTTCACGTGCCACATTTTATGGTGCAACACATGCAGCAACTCCACCCCACTCCCTCCATCTGAGGATCTATATTGGGCATGTATGCAGTGCTTATCACTTTCATGTCTCAGTGCTGAAATAACTGTTAACTAATTTTATTATACCAGTACAGATAAATGAATTCTTGCTATCAGTCAATATAGTCCAAAGAAAAGTTTACCACAAGCGTTGGCAAAGGCTGTCTCTACTCTGTAGGACCCAGGAGAACTTCTCTGCTTCCAAGTCTGTCTACTCACTCTGCATCCATCTCTGGTTCCTATAGAAAGGACAGCAAGGGGTACAGAGTGAAGGGGAAGCAGTGGAGCGTATTCCAGCAGCCCAACTTCAGGCCCATCACAGAGCCACATGTGCCCTGTGAGCTGAGACACCCCGGTTTAATCTGCCTGTGCACCACTGTGGTTGGTTTGTGATCACTGAAATGATTCTCAGTCCTACAGATCTGCCACCTTAATTTACACTGCAGTGAGTTTATTGGAGTGCAAGGTTACACACACTCAAGAGTGCACGAACACTCTTTTGAAAACCTGATGTTTGTGACCATCCCTACAAGCACCACTCAATCTCACAATGAAGGAGTTCATAATGAACTCTGCTGCATCCTTTCCACAGACCCTGCTTCTCTGAGTCAGAGCTGGAGTGTGGAAAGTTTTGGGTTTTCTTGCCCCCTTCTGAGTTGATACAGTCCAGCTTTGCCTAAGAACAGCTTCTCTCTTCTCTGGCACAAGAAGTTTTTAGGAGCATAGGCAATTAATCACAACTTAGTCACAACTGAGAACTAATTTTGAGAAAGTCAAGAGTTGGCTCTTAAGTTCTTTTTACTGTTACAGTCTTACTGTACATCTGTAGGCTGATTCATTTCATGAATAGGCTTTCTTTAACTGGTATTTTTTTGTTCTTGTGGCATGTTCTCCTTCAGAACGATGGGAAATCAAGGCATTTTTGCTTCCCCCTCTTTTTTTTTTTTTTCCTACCCTCAGTCTCCTGATTGATGTGTCCCTGCAATATGTCGTGCTGCATGTTAAATGTGCTAGGTCACTTTGTGCTTGTTCCAAAGCCATATGAAGTCACTGGAAAGACTTCTGTTATTTAACTTTACCTTTGAGTGGGACTGAAGGGGAAGTGAAGCATGTTCATTTTCATGTAAAAATCATCTTTATTTTTCAGCATGTTTTTTATTTTGATGAAGTCTTTGGGGAGTCATGTACCAATCAGGATGTGTATATGAAGACAGCCTATCCTCTCATTCAGCATATTTTTAACGGGTAGGGCATCAGTGCTTACATTTGTTATTTTTTGCCTTGGTTTTGCCTTGTTTTTCCATTTTCATATACTGCTTTAGTTTTCCTTTATGCTTTTCATCTTTTGAAAAATTCATTCATTTCACCTCTGCTACATACCTTCCCCCTTTCAGAATGTCTTTGGTTGCAGTTTTGACAAAATAAATCAGGAAAAACTTCCTTCACGCTTGGCAACAAATCGAAGTTACAGAAGGAGGTAAAATTGGACGTCAGGTGCAACCAAGAGACACGATGGCCAGCCTAGAATGAAAAAATGTGTCCCAGGAGTTCTGAAGTCTAAGCTTCACTCTAATAATGGAGTGATGCACAGTCATCTGTAGAGGAAATATGTTACCTCTTTCCTGGGACTGCTGTGAGGTGTTTTTACATGTATTTGTACAGTTCACAGGGCAGTAGAAATTATTAATAACCTTGTGATTTATTTTTATTTTATTGATTTATATTTGCTTAGAGATTTAATCATAATTACATACTTCCTGATTAGTGGGAGATTGATGGTGGTTTTATGTGAGGGATCTTATTTTCATGCAAAGTAATGAGCTTGAATATAATTACGTTTTTCAGTCGTAGAAGGAAAGGATTACATATCCGTGCTGAAAATTAACAAAATGGAGTATGCTGTTACTGAAAATCTCTAAGTGTCATCAGCAGAGACAGCGTATCATGCTCCTGAGAAAAGGAAAGTGGAAAAAAGGAAAATGAGGCTTGTATCTTGCTGTGTCATAGTCACTAAAGCCACAATTCACATTACAGCTAGTCTATTAATGTCACCAGATTAGATAACACTGTTTTTTTTCCTCAGCTTCCCCTAACTTTTCTGTCCCTCCTGCTGCATCCCTTTCACTAGTGTTGGTCTAATCTGACACTGTGGTGAGCTAATGCTGCAATCTAAGCTGTCAAGAAATTGTTCACTGTGCTCACTGCAGAGCTACATTTTTACCCACGATCTGCCAAGGTACTTACCCAGGTCAAAAGTCTGTTTTTTAAGGGGGACAGAGAAAGGAAAAGAGCCAGCACTCTGTGACACATGAGATCTTCATAGGATGTGCTTGGGAATAGTTGTTAAGTGGTGTGCAGTTTCCCAGAGAGGATGGCAAACCAAACCTCATTGCTAAGGGGCCACTATGGGTAGATACCAACACTGTAGAATCTTATTTAATAGATATGAATGAGTCAGATGTGACACTAAACACGTCAGTTGTCTTCACAGAGGCAATGCCACCTGCTTTGCCTACGGGCAGACTGGTGCTGGCAAGACTCACACCATGATAGGAACTCACCGGAACCCGGGACTCTACGCCCTGGCTGCCAAGGACATCTTCAGACACCTGGAAGCCTCACCGTCAGGGAAAGACCTTTTTGTCTTCATCAGTTTTTATGAGATCTACTGTGGGCAGCTTTATGACCTACTAAATGGAAGGAAGAGGTATTTAAACAAAAAACATGGTTTACTATAAACCTGTGAATTGGTTGGTTACTGTTTCGTGCAATTTCATTTAACATATTGGCATTTATAGTACGTGTTATGTATTTAATTAGGGAGGAAGGCAGGATCTGACACTAAATACTGTAACATTGATAGAGACTCCTGGTTTTATTGTTTAGGGGAGATATAAGTAAGAATAAGGACATACGTTTGAGATACGAGCTCCGGCCGTTTTGCTTACACTGTAAAAATATAACAGCTGAACATCCATAGGTAGAGAAACACCTTTCTTGTGGCCAAAAATTCCTGTATTAGAATCTTAGAATGGTTTGGGTTGAAAAGGACCTCAGAGGTATCTTGTTCCACTCTCAATGCCACGGGCAGGGACACCTTCTACTGGACTCAGAGCCCCATCTAACCTGGCCTTGAACACTACCAGGGATGGGACATCCACAACTTCCCTGGGCAACCTGTCTTAGGCCAAACATTGTCCTCTCCGTGGTCTAACATAACCTCTGTCTGTCCCCCTGCTGTGCCAGTGGGGCTTTGGCTCTTGCCACTCCAGTTTCTGAAGATCCTGTTGATCTCCACTTGTCATGCTTGACACTGCAGAGCCTGCTCACCTTCTCCCTGACCACCTTTACCTGGCAGCCCAGTGACTCGCCCAGAGCAAGCCTCTGCAGGTGATGCTGCCACCACATCAGTAGCAGCACCTCAGTCCCAAAATCAGCTGGATGGTCCTAAACTCCTACGGGAGCTCCATTTGGAATTAGGACAGCTCAGCTCAAAAAACCCACCACGGTCTGAAATTTCTAAATTTCAGCAGCAAAATCTTTTCAAAGTGACCTTGAAGGAACATTACCTGGCAGGTGGGGTTCTGCAGCAGCCTCAGAGCACTGTCCTTCAAGCTCACCTGACAGCTCAGGGAGGAGACTTTCCTCTTAGGGAAGCTAGCATCTGTTCACAAAGGAAGCACCTTTTTCTGTGCCTGTGTGCTCCCTTTCTCCAAAACAGTCTCTTAAGGAGTAGGTAGTGTAATCTGCTGTATGAGGAGTAGATTAACTAAGGAAGAAGGAACACCCTTACATTCTCTGCGTGTCCACTGGCTAACTTATGTGTCACTGAAGGAGAAGATTGAAATTCCTCCCTTGTGCATCATGTCTGTGTTATGCCTCTATACTGTAATGCTTCTGTGTGATTCATAGCACCAGCTCATAGGAGCAGCTTTAAAATCCTGTGCAAAAATCTTGAGAACATGAACAGAGCAAAACTTAGTCTGAACTTCCCAGGGGAACCTGAGATGCAGTTTAAAGAGAGACAGGAACTCTAAAATGTAAACGTGATAATTCCCTTCCTTGCTTTATTATGTTCCCAAACTAGCAGAAATGCATTGCTAATGTCCCTTTAGCAGTGAAATGGTGGCACATGTTATAAATGAAGTGCCTCTTCAGTTCTAAAAATAAATGAATGACACCAAGGCCTTTCCCCAGTCAGTAGCCTTGATTGCTTTTTCTCAGTGTCACAGCATTGACACGTGTCTTCGTTGCTGCTGTCTGAGATTTCAGAAGTCTCCTTTCTGCACTGTTTTGTTTTCAGACTTTATGCAAGAGAAGATAGCAAGCACGTGGTTCAGATAGTTGGACTGCAGGAGGTCCAGGTGGAGTCTGTAGATGAACTGCTGGAGGTAAATTTCACTATGTTTATGATTCATTCTTCTTCTTCATTCTGTCTTCTACAGCCTGATTTGCTGATTTGTGATATTTACAGAGATTGTTTTTTGGTGTGTAGCACAAGTGTATGTTCATGTTTAAGGCCCTGAAATACCAGTCCCAGCAGAGCACCAAGGGACACCATTAAAAGTGCCTTTATTCATGAAGCTGCTTGGGTCACTGTGAGTTGTGTTAGCCACATGCAAGCACTTGAGTCACAACCGTCACTTCTGCTGCCATTCCTTAGGGAACACCTTTGCCAAGAAAGAGACTGCTATCACTATTCCAGAAAGTAGGGACTTTGGAAGCTGGATATGTATTTTCTCCTCGTGTGATATTCTATGAACTTAGATTTTTGTATATAAAGCGTATGTGGGACAAAAAATATAGATTTGAAATTAGAACCAGTAATTAGAAAATACTTGAGATATTGATCTGAATTAGGATTAAAACACTGCTTAGGTAATGATGTGTGAAAACAGCCAAGTAAAATTAAGATCTTTAAATGGTAGCTGACTTTCACCACAAGCAAGGCTTCAGCTTTCCTTTCCCTTTCGGCTGAGCCTGAAAAGAACACTGGCAAATTTTCTGCATTGTGTCCTGCAAGAATCAAGCTGGTTAAATCTGCTTGCTATTTAGCCTGACTTTACATAGTTTAATTCCTTTCTTAGTAAGGAAGTGTAAGTTACAAGTGCCTGGTATAGTAATTGACTCTGGTGTTGTCCACTTATATTACACTTAATTTTGTTCTTCATCTTCCCATTAGCTCCAAGCTTTGGGGCAAGCTGGTGATGCTTCTGCAAATTAGAGTGTAAATTTGCTATATGGTTGATTTACAATTCCTGTGTATTATCACATTCCACACACAGCAGAGCTATTAAATTACTTCATTCTTACGGATATCTTGGCAGGGGTGGGGGGGAATGATATTATTCACAGGCCCTTTTGAACACAGAAATGTCACTGACTTGACTCAAAGCTTCTGAGTATTCTGCGACAGATATATGGAAAGAGCCTTGAATACATCCCTAGTTGTTCACAATTCACTGATGTTGGCTTGGATTCAGAAATTATCTGCACTTAGCACTAATATAAAGCTTGGAAACAGCAGCAGTTGGTTATGCTGCTTATTGAGAACTGGCCACTGAAAAGCATGAATAATTCACATCTGTCAACTAAGAGCATATTGATTTTGCTAGGTAATATTTTATTTTGTTCTTACAACTAGAAGCAAAATTAATGATTGTTTTTTGAATGCCCTGCTGCAGTCAATGCCAGGCTTTCTGTGACAGTCCTTTAAAGTTTTCAAAAAATAATTATCCAGATTTGTATCGTGAAGGACTCTTTGTCCTTCTGCCTTGCTTCTCTTCCTTCTTATTTTATTGTTGTATTGATTATAATTGCTCTTTTAACTTTGTTCCCTACTTGGGCATAATTTCTTTTTGTTAGGGAAATTTAGAAAGGTTTTGGCACTTTGTATTTTTTGTGTAACTTTCTGGGTAATTGTATCCATCTACTACAAGAGAAAGTGAAATTTTAAAAGAGCAAATAGTCTCATGAGTCTCTTAGGTTATGTGTGCAATCTTACAAAAGTATGCCAGCAATGAAAGAAAGAATTTAATTTTATAGTTTGGGTATTTTGCAATTCAAAGTGAGTGTGTGATGCAGCAACTTCTTATTTGCAGTGCGCTCTCTAAGCTTTGTAGTGTCACTGCGAGCAAGTCCACATACGAAGGTCATTGAGGGGGATCCAGTCTAACTTAATGCTGGCCTGTTACCAAATTTTGAGGATGAAATGAGCCATTTGTCATCTTGGGAGGACAAGATCTCTTTCTGAGAGACCGTATTTTTATTTACAATTTGCTTGGATTTTGTCCCCCTTATTTTGCAGGTGATTTTGAAGGGGGGGAAAGAACGTAGCACAGGAGCCACTGGAGTCAACTCAGATTCCTCTCGATCTCATGCCATCATCCAAATTCAAATTAAAGATGCGGCCAACAGGATGTTCGGAAGGTAAGACAAGAAGTGCAAGTGCTCAGTGCCCATGTCAAGCCCAGGAACATCCAAGAGACAAAGAGTAGGTGTTAGTGGGCAAGTGTGAGTTAAATCAGAGCATAGGGTTCAAAGGGACTCTGGGAAGTTTCACAGTCCTTTCTCTGTTCCCAGGAAGAACACTTTAGGCACATCTGTGAGAGCTTTGACAAAACAGTTTGTACAGATTTCCAGTGAAGGAGTTTGGCAATCAAGCCCATTCCCTCATCTTCAGTGTTTACTCTGGCTGAAGGTAGATGTCTGCAGTGGACAGGTCCACGTGTGAGCTCACCACCTTTGAAGTCAGTAGAAAGAAATAGCCATTTCTGGGATCCAATTCATGCCATTCTGCAGAGCCACCTAAATTAGGTCAGATGCATTTGCCCCTCAAAGCACTCCTGTCCTGTCATTGACTACAAAGGGAGCCTGGAATGACTAACCCTGGTGGAGATGATTCCATTACAGATGTTTGCCTTTGGTCAGAAGTATCCTGCCTCGTACCTCAGCTAAGTCTCCCTGATAATTTGAGAGTGTGACTCTGATGCTATCTCCAGCAGACAGAAAGAGCATTTTGCTTCCTCTTCTAGCATCCACTTTATGTGTTCGAAAAGCAGTTGTGCCTCTTCTTAGTCATCTTTTCTCCAAACTAAACAACCCCAAGAAATAGTTCTGAGGAAGAAGGTCTAGGTATCTGTATTATTGCTGAGTGTTACAGTACTGACACACCCTTCCAGCAACTACCATATAGTCTTTGTTCCCAGGATCAAATTTTGAACACAAGGCAAAATGGAAGAGACACAAACAGTGGAGAGAGGAAAAAGACAGAACAGGCAGACTTCGGAAATAAAAGTATAGGGGTTATGCAGGTGTGGCATCTGGGCTATTTTTTTGTGTGTCTCTGAAAGAGAGATGGATCTGGAGAGAGGAAAGTGTGCCAAGATATGCCTATAAAAGAAATCAGAGCTGTTGGAGAAAAACAAGAAGGGCAAAGACAAAGATACAGTGCAGCAGTCATTGCAGCAGCTGGCACCCAGAGCTAGAGAATGTGAAATGGAGTAATGGAGTTCTGTAGAAGGAAGGGACAAAAGGATCACTGAAAGCTCAGTGTATTTACTACACTGGAAATTTCTGTTCTTATTCTTCTGAATTCCCATTTGACATGGGAATGACAGTTGTCTGTTTTACCTGGAAGGAGAAATCAAGAAACTTACAATTTCTTTTAACTGTGTTCTTAGGAAACTACAATCACAGTGATTATCTGGAGAGATGAGTGTGTTGCACTTTAAACAGCTTGTCCATTAAACTGTGGAGCACTGTCATCACACGTAATTACACTTTCTGTTACGATTGTGTTAGTGTTAAGATGCTCTGACACTGTTCCTGCTGCTATGCTTATTTTGGTGCCTCAGATATTTCCGGTGGATGCTTTTCATTGTTCAAAAGTAGTAATTTCTAATCGTTCTCATGATGCCATGTGTTGCAGCCCTCTGGTTTAATAAGGAAAAAGGAAAAAGAGGGAAAGAAGGCTCTAAGATAAATGCAACGTTGTTGTTTTTTTTCTAGGATATCATTCATTGACTTGGCTGGCAGTGAAAGGGCAGCTGATGCCAGAGACTCAGATCGACAAACAAAAATGGAAGGAGCAGAAATAAACCAAAGTCTTTTAGCAGTAAGCTACTGTCATAGCTGGGAGAGGCTTTATATTTAATTACTAACATGTATTTTAGGATAAAAATGACCCACAGAATACTATATGAACATATTCCATGGAGGGGGAAAAACAACCAAGGTATAAAGTGTGTCCATTTTAATTTGTCTCGTGACCAAAAGACAGTTTAAGAAGGAAGAGATTTTGTGATGAAAATTGAGTAATTTTTATCCATTCTTACAGCCAACCAGGTAAACACAGCATGGAGAATGCTAGGTGTAGTAGAATAAGGGTCCCATATCTTAGAAAGTTTTGTCCGTTCTACATCCAAAGAATACTGGCTTGGAATTGCCATATTTGTTTCATAAAAGCACATCTGTTCCTGCCAGTTATTTTCACCACTTGAAGTCAGGCTTCTCTTTCAAATCAGGAATAAAGGACTTAAATGCTCAAGAGCATAGAAACTAGCAATTCATGCGTAGGGAGGAACAGGAATAAATGCAGTCTAATGCCAACTGTTCTTTTGTAAGTGCCCTCAGTTAGGTAAAGAGGGACAAAGGAGCAGAAAAATGCCATCTAAGATAAAGCAGAGGTGCCTGTAAGGGTAAATTGTGCAGAAGGCTTTGCACCTCCTTTAATGCCAAGGAACAAAGCTCACTGATGACTGTGGGCTTCTCTAAGCAAGGCTGAAAGTGATACACAACAGTGCAGAAGTCAGTGCACACAACTGCACCCCTTAGTGTGCTGTAAATAGGAGGTGCCTTGCTCTGTTTCGAGAATGTAAATGTTCTTTTTCATAGAAGCTTTTCCTGCTGTGGAATATTAGTATTTGTACTGGGAGGTAGCCTGTGAAGTGAATGTGTTTCTGCACTTCGTGCTTTCTGGAGTACTTGCTGGTGAATAACTGAGTGGCACAGGGAGATGGGACCAGAATAGAAAGAAGTCTGATCCTAAAGGTCTTCTCCAACCTAAACAACTCTGTGATTCTTGAGAAATGAGGCCTAGTTGTAAGCTCATGAAACGCTTTTAAAAGAAACTTTGAAATCAGAGTGTGTACATTTTTGGTATTGTGTGAAACTGAGAAAATATCCAGGCAGTCTACAAGTAGTGACTGAATTAACTGTAAAAGGTAATATAAGAGGTATTAAAAGTCTACATGACCTGCAGCCTGTAAAACCACCCCTGCCCTCAGTGACAATAACATTCTCTTCAGGCATTTAAACACACAAGGTTTGAAGTTTGCTACTATTTTAAATATTCATGCTAATTTCAAGTGGAAGACTTTCAGACACTGCAACTAAGGGAAACAGAATTAAAAAAAAGAATTGTATGATCTCCTTCATGTTACAGGAGCAATTTTTAATAAAATGCTGTAAGAGTGAGAAGTGTCATTTTAAGTGGGAGTCTGTAGAATCTAGTAAGGCTGTAAATGATTCATGCTAGTATCACCATGACAGTACTGTAATCTGCTTATTTTTCCTTCAATATTTGCTCTAAAGGGCTTGTGTCATGGCTATACTTTCCATTTCTGCCAGTTTTAGAGAGCATCCAGGTTCGATATGGAGTGTGATGCTGTTGTGCTTATTCCAGTGAAGTACACATCTTTGAGTTTGAACATGACACCTTTTTACAAGGCTGATAATAAATCACAGAATCACAGAACTGTCAGGGTTGGAAGGGACCTCTGCAGATCATCCAGGCCAATCCCCCTGCCAAGGCAGGGTCAGCTAGAGCAGGTGACATAGTAGGAGTCAAAGGTGACATAGGGCACTGGTGGGTTAGGTCTGATGCAGTTCAGTTCATGACTGATCTGTTGTTCCCTTCCGATTGTTTTCTGTTCTGGCAGCTGAAGGAATGCATTCGGGCGCTGGACCAGGAACACGCGCACACTCCTTTCCGGCAGAGCAAACTGACTCAGGTAAAACGAGCAGCAAGGCCAGAGTGGAGGTTTCCCTGAAAAGGGCAAAAATAAACAAACAAGCAAACAAATAAATCAGTGAGTGCCACAGTTCAGTTACTGCTATTGAACCTGTGAGGAAAAAGGGGAAAACTTTGCATAACTTTTGCAAACTTCAATTTTAAAAGCAATCGCAGAATTAAGGCCAGCTGACAGTTTCTGCCAGCCAGTGCTGGGGTCTGGCATGGTTAAAATAACAAACAACCCAAAAACTAAAACCAAGCAAAAACCCAGAAACTGCCTTCCAGGCTCATTCAGAGTTACCATCCATCTCCACCCAGTCTGCAACCAATCCTGCATCTTCTATGCAGTATCAGTACTGGGAGCTTGCATCAGCATTTCCTCACTCCAGTTGCAACATCTGCTTTATTCCCCAAAACATATGGGCACCCTTGTGGCACCTGGTGCAAGCGCTTGTTCAGAGCCCTGATTAACACTCATATTCATTTTAAACTGTAAACAAATAATGATAAGACAAATTGAGACAAATGGACTGCATTTAACGAAAAAAGAAAAAAAAAGAGCCAGTAACTAATGTTAAATTTCTTTGGTACACATTGCTAATTTACAGGACATAAAAGGGGCATGAGCTGCTAAGAATCCAATTTTATTTTCCTTCTAATCCTAGGTGCTAAAGGATTCTTTCATTGGCAATTCCAAGACGTGTATGATAGCCAATGTGTCACCTAGCCATTTAGCTACAGAGCATACCCTGAACACTCTACGGTATGCTGACAGGTAGGTGGTGAAAGTCAGTCTTGCCAGGGTGAAAAACACAAAGGAAAAACTAATGTAAGAGGCTTGTGGTTGCATTTTATTTTGGTTGTATTGAAAATATTGATTAAGCAAGAAGTGCAATTTGCACAATGCAAATAAAATCCTTACCTATTCCAACCCTTATACTGGATCTTAAAATTTTCCATGTATTTTAAGTCCTTTCTGATGACAGTTTTCAGTGATGAAGACGTTACTGTGTGCCCCTGTAATCAGGATTATTGACTTCAGTAATCAAAAGTTTTGGTTTATCTTTGTGTTGTAATTCTACTTAGAATGCGTGCAAGTCCTTCACCTTCCCTCCTACATAGGAGGAGGTAAATTACAGGCCATGCAACACTGGTGTTAGAAGGACAAGAGATACCTGAAGAGCAAGAGGGGCAAAGGGAACAGGTGAAGGTCAGGCTGATACCAGTTAATCAGCTCTTCACAGTTGCACTGGGGATCAGTTGATCCAGGAGCAGTGTAGCCCTGTGCACATCACCAGAGCTAAGGAGCCCCACTGCAACTACTCCAGAAGTCCTCCTTAGTGCCCCGTGGGACTCTGATGTGCTGTGTAGAGTACCGGCTCCTTCTGCTGCATCATAACATGTGGAAATGCCACTGCCTTGCACTGAAGCTGAGGTCATTTCAGCTCCTTGATCTGTCATGCATCGTTCTAGGAAGTGCTTAAAACGGCTGCTATAGACCTTTCCAGAAGTTCAGGCGTTTTGGCAGAGGGATTTTGATACCTGTGTAGATCCTGTTACAAAGCAAACCATGGTGATGAATTCAGGATTTAGTCTTATTATGTGAAAGCATTAGTTTGTTCTAAAGATGCTGTTATTTATCAGAAAGCAGGACACCTTCTAAATCCAGCCTGTTTTACAGGGTCAAAGAGCTGAAGAAAGGGATTAAATGTTCTACCCCTGTCACAAACAGGCGTCGCAGAGCTGGAAACGTGTCTCCAAAACGCGTCCAGAGCACTCCCTCTTTGCCACCTGGGGAAAAGAGCTCTCCAAAGAAAGTGAAGCTAGGCCTACAGCATCCCTCAAGTGCTATGAAAACAAAGGTATATCCTGCAGCACTGCAGCCACCTGGTGTCCCTCTTACCTCTACCCCAAGGGCAGTCAGCAAAGGATATGCCTGCAAAGGAAATACCAGCATACCGTGCTTCCAGCTCCTGAGCCCAATTAAGGGAGTCCTACGGATAGCACATTGCCTGAAGAAGAAAACTGATGATCTATCTCCCCCCTCTGAACAGAGTCCCTCTGTGAAGGATTTCATCACCGCAAGTGCTGCCACAGATGAAACAAGGGAGAGTGGCCAGAGAGACAAGTATATGCAAGACAGATCACCTGTCCAGTGCCTGAAAGTCCAGACAGTGCAACCTGTTCAGAAACAGCTCATTTCTAGAGATGATATTTCCTTTGGAGAAGGAAGTCTGCCCTCTGACAGCAGACAGGAATGGGGAAATACTTTTGCTAAACAATGTGTTGAACCCTGGACGTATCTGCCTCCATTTCAGAAGGAGAGGGAGGAGCACTTACGTCTTTATCACCAGCAGTTTCAGCAGCCACCTATTCTACAACAAAAATTGAACTATCAACCCCTTGAGACGTTTTTAATGCAGTACAAGCCTGAGGAGATTCAAGCAAAACAAGATCTGAGCCTTACTCCCACAGAAATGCAGAACAAAGAGGGGACGCAGCTGGAAGATCTGGATGACAGTGATTTCAGTGAAGATTCTTTCTCACCTATCTGTAGTCAAAAAAGCGTGAAAACGGGAAACACCAACAAATGCAGTCAGCATTCATTTTTCCTTCATGAAAGAGAACAAGGAACTGAAGAAGAGCAAAAAGGCCAAAAGCGGCAGGATTTATTTTTTAAATATCCAGTACCCATGCAAGAGCATGAACTGGATGACAGCTGGGGTTGCATCGAGGGCAGCCCAAAGGCAGAGGAATCCATTAAGAATGCAGGCTGCAGCAGAACTCCAGCAGACTGGAACTATGACTTAGCTATTGAGTCCCCTCCAAGCAATACTGCAGAAAAGCCTTACTGCCTGCAGGAAGATCCTGCTTGTAGCTGGAAACATGGCAAGGATTTCCTAGCTGATCACAAAGAGTACAAAACCAAACACAGATACCTTGTTTACTCCAGTGAAGCCACCTTAACTCCAGAAAAGGATATGTCAAACCCATATGTATCTCTTGTATTGAATCCAGGAACTCCAGAGTGCAAAGAGATTGATCTCTGGCGTGAGGAGAGGGAAGAACCCACTTTGGACAAACAGGCTGCCCTCGCAGGAGATGTACAGTGGAAAGCTCGTAAAAGTGGAGTTAACCACTGTGTCTCTTCCAGCTGCTCCTCAGAATTCACTTCCGAGCTAATGGGCCCTCTCCCGGTGTCCCCTCTTGGCTGTGAGGAAACAGCTGATGCAGAGAAAGTCTCTTGCCACCGAGAGAAGTCCCCCGGTGAGATGCAGGCTGCAGGCAGTGGCACGCAGGGCTCCCCGGGCGGGTGTGAGGAGGAGGGCTGGCAGTGCACGAGGAGCAGAGCCCTGACAGACAGCATGCTGGAGCTGGGCGAGCAGAGCCGGCTGGCAGGAAGGGATCGCGCCCCGCTGCGCTCCCCACAGGCCGGGCACCGCTGGCTCCCGCCCGCCTGCTGCCCTGCCAGGCCCTGCTGCTGCTGCCGCTGCGGGGGCTCAGCACAGCAGGGAGGTGGCTTGTGTGCTGGGCCTGACCCCACAGAAGCACCCACAGCTGGATCCTCGAGCGCCAGGGCGGAGGGAGAGGGTGGGCTGTCCCACAGTGGCTCTGCGTGCAGGGAACATGCAGGTGGCAGGCAGGGTGATGCTGATGTTAAAGATGGTGCTGGTAGTTCAGGAAAATCCAGCTCGAGTCAAGGACCCAGTGCTGAGCCCATGGTTGCAGAAACAAACGCTGAAACACCTGAAAAGAACTGTTTTTCAGAGGCAACGTGCTTTCTCAGTGTGGGGCACACGGATCATGCAGCCCAGTCCCCCTCTCAGGAGAACAGCCTCCAGGTGCAGCCCAAGTCAGGAGTGAGGAATGAGGACCTCACCCATTCTGAAGACCCTGCCAGGCCATCGTTCAGTAGTGAGGAAACAGCATTGCTAAAAAACCAGTTAATACAGAGTGGTTTTACACAAGAAACTTCTGCTGCAGATGCAGGATGTGCAACCAAAGATGATAAGCCAACAGCAAATGCAAAGAGCCCCTCAGGCATATCCAGCAGCAGCTCTCCAAGTGCTACATCAGAGATGGGGAAGTGGCAGAGGGAAGCCCTAGAAAAGGCACAGTAAGTCTTGCTCATCACTGCAGTTTGTAATGAAGCTTAGAAATGTGATACATTTGCCTTTATTTGTGTGTCATACTCATATGTGCTTTAAAAACCAAAGTGTAATCTTCTAGTAAATAATTCTTTAATAAGATTAATCACAATTTATAGTCAGTATCTTTTAAATATGTGATTGCTTGTTACTTAGTGATATTTTAAAAATCTCACAGGAAGCCAATTATTCTATTAGATCTTCTAAGATAATGCTAGAGGAGCTAATATTGTAATACAAACTGCAGTTCTCAGTAATTAATTGGCTTCCTATAAGCTGTAAAGTACCTAAAATATATCAAAACCCCCCATCAAGAGTCAGGTCATAGCTGTTCCATCCCTATGGAGAGAAAAGCAATGGGGCAGTCACTGAAGGTGTAGATATAAAGCTTCCAAGTACTCTGCGCTGCCACTGTTAGCTACCTGGGGCAGGACTGCATTCATGTGACTGAAAATACATTGTTTATCAGAGAAACTTGCTCAGAGGAACCAACAGCGGCACTGCCTTCCTGCTCTGCCTGGTTTTCACCAAAATTACTTTCAGCCTCATGGTTGTAAGCCATTTCACCAATTAATTAGTCAGTTGTTTTGCTCCTTGATTTCACTGTGGTAAAAAGCAGTCTGTGCCCCTGTGCTGCCGGTGGTAATGAGGGCTGTGGTCAGTCCTCTGTAACAACCCTTAGTCATCCAGGTGACCCTTAATCCCAAACCAGTGCATCCCTCTGCACTTCAAGGAGCACCAGAGCTTCCTGAGTGCCAGGGACACAGGACAGAAAGGATTCCTCTGGGGTATTCCCTCTTCCTGAAGGTTTATTGAGGCCAGCAGTAATTACAAGTAGTGCAGCAGGCTGTGTAACCAGAGGTGTATTTTCTGTTAATCAGACAGGCTGTAATTCGTGCCCATGAGGAGCAGCTGGATGAAATGGCATGCTTGTGCTTCAAGGAGCAGTGCTTGATAAATCAAATGTCAGCAATGGTAAGTGTTTCATCCAATGATTTTGGTGCCTGTTGAACCTGCACAGATTAGTCTCAGAGATTATTAACTTGAATTGGTGGTGTTATGTTCCTTGTCAGTTCCTCCTCGTGTTCTGCGATGCCTGTCTGTGTCCTGGGAGAGGCCTCTCATTCTCAGTGCCTGTTGTGTCTCTGCCAGTCTCCAGAGCCCTTGAGGCAGCAGGAAGCTGATGGGCCAGGCTGAACTCTTTGTCTCTCATCAGAGAGCCTGCCCTTATTTTGTGTCACGGGCACCAGACTGTATCAGACAGAGCTCTGTCCCTGGGACATTTTTCTCCTTACAGTGAGTCAATATCACAGAACACAGCACATCCCTAAAGCGTGGCACTGGTGGCATTTGGCTCTTCCTTCTGGGGGCCCCGTTGCCTCACACACTGCAGATGTGCCAACAGCCCTGGCCCCACTCATTCCAGTGCTCTGGCCACTGTGGCTTGTGCCCTCACAGGCTCTTGGCTTTTGTCACTCGGCTGTTTCTTGGCTTGTCCTCGTCTCAGGTGACACCGGTGTATGGTGGACCCAAAGACTGGCACCTGCATGGCCCCAGTGCAGTCACAGTTCTCTGTTCCTCCTGCATCCCAACAGATACATTTCACAGCCATGCAACAAGACTATGAACAATTCCCAGTGAGAACTCCTGCTTTCCCAGTTCCCTCATCTTATCAGTAAAGCCAAGCTGCATTGCTGTATTGCATTACCAAACTGTTTCAATTCCTATCACAGTTCAGATCTGAAGTACAGGGACTCTTCCCTCAGGGATTTTGGACTGGTTCCACCATGTGGCTTATTCACTGTGATTTCCAGATGCATGTGCTGTGTTATAGATAACAGAACTTCACAAAGCAGCACTGGAGCCATAAATTGTGTTCATTTTGTGGCATGTGGATGATGGAGTGATACAAAGCAATCTTATACTTTTTTTTTTTCTTTTTTTCTTTTTTCTTTTTTTTTTAATCTTTTGAAGTTGTTCTTCCTAAGTCTGTTGGTCACTGGACATGAGTTCTGCCCCCCTCCATTTATTTGCCCCTTGCAGCAAGCAGTTATTTTCTGGCTAGCAGAATTATGACAAGCTTGCCAGGTCTCCCAGCAGTGTAGTGTTATTTCACAGCATGACATTTTTTTGGGTAGTGAAATCAGCTCGGAATTCCTGTATCAGGTTCTCTGCTTCCATTTTCAGATGGTTTCAACTTCTCCAGCCATGAAACTTTGGCTGCAGGAGGGACTCATGCCAAGACCAGCCACACACTGAACACAAAGCCATATTTAAAGTGCTTAAGAAAAATATTCCACAGCAGCTGGGCTGGTCTTCATTACTGTCCCAATGTCCCTGTGAGACAGAGATACAGTGCAGGAAATAGCTGGAGTACTGCCAAATCAGCTTTTAAGTGATTGATTTCCATGCACAGCAGCTGAATTCCCCAGCCCTGGGGATGTTGACACCTCCCAGCTTCTCAGGCACTGACCTGTGAGGCAGTGAGCAGAGGCACCAAACTGCTCACAGCTGGAGAGCAGAGCAAATCCGAGTGCTCCCTTATTAATACAAGGCCTACTTAAAAATAACTGCCTCCATTTCAGTTTTAATGAGTTTCATACTGCTTTTTAGTTACTATGGAAGGTAGAGTTCCCCTCAGCCAAGGCTGTGTACAGTGCTGGGATTGCTCATGTCAGCCCTGGCAGAGCTGCAGCCAGGCAGGAGTTGGACTAGGCCTGTGACCTGATGAGAAATAAACCCCTCACATCTCTCAAGATTGGGCTGTTACCTGTGATTCACGATCCATGAGTACCAAGTCACCATTTGTTTTCAACATGAGAGGTGTCAGGAACGGTGTTCAGCAGATTGTAAAACTGGGTGACCAGTCCCTGTACCAAACCTTTGAAAAGCTGACCAGTGTAGCAGAGTAACAACACGTGTTTCATACATTTTTGTTTTTAAATCACTGTATTTGCTGTAATTTCACCAACAGATAAAACTACCCAAGCCTTGGTACTTAGAGACATTGACCTTTGTCTGTGAGGGTTGGGACTTAAATAAGGAAATGTGATGTAATCTACTGGACTGCAGAATGGAAAACAGGCTCTTATGCCCTGCTACCGTGCAAAAAATATGCTGATTTTCTCCAGCCTGCTGCTGCTGTTTCCTAAACTGTCCTTTTGCCTTCTTCACCAGGATTTTCAGAACTTCACCACCATGCTGGATGAAATCTTGGTACTGAAGTCAAAGTGTATCCAAACGATGCGAGCCCAGCTCCAGCTCTGTTTAGCCTCTCCTGGCACGGACATGTCACTGCAACCACCTCCACCAGTTTAGACCTTCTTTGCTTCCACAGGCACAGGAGCAGCTATGGAAAACGCCAGCCAGCACTTTGCTGCACTTGGTGCCGCAGAGTGTGGGTGGTAGGGGATAGCTTTTGGTTTGATGTGTGTGATTAGTGTGTATTTTATATAAGGACGAAGAGAATTCTGAGTAAATGAGAGGTGACTAATTGGCAACACAAGCTTTGTATTTTCATTAATACCCGTAAGCCACGTTCTTAAAAATAACAATTCAGCAGCCTTTAAATATCTCACCAAGCAGCAGGCAGTCCTGTTCATGTATCTCAGCAGCTTCTCACGTGTTAAAGGCACTTCTGCATTGCCAAAAAAAAGGGGGGGCGGAGGGGAAAACAACCTGAATAGAAATGCTCAAAAGCTCCCCTGAAAAATGTTTGCAAACAGGAGCCAGGGGTTGTTACACTAACACCAGACCTACTTGGTACCTGGAAGTCAAGGCAGGGCAAGAAGTGCTGTCAGTTTCAGAAGAAGGAAGCCTATTGTTGCCCTAGCTCATGGGATGAAAACTCCAGCGATCCTGAAAGATGTGGTTTAAGTTATGGGTGATGAGTGGTTTAGCAGGGACTTTGTACCAGAGATTCATCTGTTGTGTTAATAAGCGTGTGGGTTTCACGCTGCTGCCCACAGCTAGAGGCCAACAGCTTTACCTGCTGCACACATCAGCCCCCTGCCCTGTGCACAGACCTGCAGTGCCCACCAGGCTCACAGAACTGATTTCTCATGTGAAAAGTGGGTCTGTCTGGAGGCATTGGGCTCCCAGGGGCTGCTGATTGCTGTTGTGTGAAACTGGTATTTGAATCAACAACTACAGAACCACCAGCTGGAGCCCTGCAGAAGCTCTGGTGCTGCACACGCATCGCGTCTAAACCACAACGCAAGTCCACTTGCTGAAGGCACAAGTGACCTTGAAAGATGTTCGCTGACAACACACTGTGTGAGCGCTCCCGCTCCAAAATTAGGGCTGTCGCAGCACATTCATCCATCTCAGTGTCTCCTCCGTAATGCCTGTGGTAGCTCATTCAAAGCCTGCTCCGTAGCCAGAAATGCCAAGGGTAATGGAACACTCCTGTCTGACCAGCTGTGGGTTTTACTGCCTGGCTCCACAGCCCCCCAGGAGCCCCAGTCAGGCTGAGCGGCAGTGCAGTAATCACAGTGACACTCTGGGATGCATATTTGGTGCAAACACTCCCAGGAATGTCACACGCGAATCCCACATCACTCTCCTGACTGTTGGGGTGTTTTTAGCGCTGGTTAGTCTCCATCTTACAAATGAAACTGGTTTTCCCCACGGAGCAGAGAGTGGAGTTTCTCCAGGTCTGAGTTTATGGCTCTCAAGATGGTTCCTGTGTCCAGGTTACAGGCCAGCGAAATGCCACACCTGAACCCAGGTGTCCCAGCCCCCTGTTCAGAAGCCTTCCTGGCCCAGAGAAATGAGGTGTCCCAGAGCTCTTGGTGCTTGTGCACAGCACAGAGCGGTGGTGCCTGAGCACCGTGCTTGCATGAAGGGATGTGAGCAATTACAGTGGTTTCCCCAGCACTTTCTCAGTGAGCACACAGAAAAAGGGCTGTCAGGGAGCAGCTGAGGAGTTTTGCAAGTTTGTTTGGAACCAAGGAAAAGGTCAGACTGTAGGATGTGTGCACAGGTCACAGGAAAATGTGATGCCCAGCCATAAACACAGTGTGAAGAAAACTCCCTCCACGTGCTCTGACATTTGGGAGAAGAGTATTGGCTAAATGGACGTTCAGGATTTTAAAGTGCAGCTCAGCAAAGTACCTTCACAGGCACTTTCAGCTATTTGCATAACCAGCAGTGCCACGTCCTAACCTCGGTGTTTTCAGACAGTTGTGACAAGACAGATGCAAGACCAAAAATTTCCGTGAGCAGAGAGGCGAGTTAAATCAGCTGCCAGATTTGAGCAACCTGTGAATCCCATCTGGTCTACTGTGAAAAAAGCAAGTTTCATCTGGCAGATCTGAGCCCCAGAGCCAGTTCCCAGAGCTGGAACTATTTGCTCCCTTGAGGAATGGCCAGGGACACTGGGAAACAACAAGTAATCAAAATAACAGTAACACATAGTTTCCTGAGGTCTGATACAATCTTTTTTTAAACTGGAGTCATTCAGCCAGTTCAAAAGATTGTACCTTCCTAAATGTAATCTTTTATTATCAGTCTGTTCTCCAAATTTTATTTTCCCTACTGAATGTGAGACTTGATTAAAATTAAAAAAATAAGGCAGCCCTGGCTGTGGAAATCTGGCCAGTTGGCAATAGTATGGACATTCTTGAAGTGCTGCACTAGCAGGAGATACCAACGCTGGGCTCCTCAGGTGCAACAGAAACTACCAAAGGTGGTGTAACGTTTTCTCTCCATTTTTAGGATTATTACCAAGTTGCTGCACTTGTTCTTATGGGAAAATGTGCTAAATGAGCATTTTAGAAGTGTCATCCTCTTCCTGTTGTCTGATGTTCCACTGATAACTGATATGAAAGGTTTTCGGTTCAACTTGAGGAATGCATGTGAAAGTGTCCCTACAGCAGTCTAAGACACAAAGAGAGCTTGGCCATATACAATCAATTAACACAGCTAAATGGGTTCACTTTTGTACCAAGGTGCAACTAATGTTCATGGAAGAGGCTTGGTGCTTCATTTCAGTGGCAGACACAATTTAAAATAAAATTCAGTGTACTACAGAACTCAAGTAAAAACCATTCTGAAGGAAACGTGATCCAAGTGCCCATTTGACTGATTGCAGGAGATGAAGTGGGGTTGGGAGCTGGTAGAGATCCCCTTCTTACCCAGCATGTTGGTGTTTCAGAAGTGTGGCTGGCCTGACAAGCCTGGGCCAGCAGCAGAATGACCCTTTGCACGGCCAACACAGAGAGCTGCCCAGCCAGGAAAGCACCAACACAGGCTCGGCCCTGCTGGGCCAGGAGCCACAGGGCTGGGTGGAGAAACCCCTGGAGCATGGGGGCGTCACCCCTGCCTGACTGCAGGATCCCAGAAAGAAGTCACCCTCAAAACACTGAGCAGCAACCAAAGCAGCACCTCTGCTCCCACACCTCCAGCCACCACTTTTGGCTCTGCGTCTGCCCTTCTCCATAAGCCCTCCCAGCAGGAGCCCAGTCCTCAGTGCCTGGCAGAACCTCTGACAAAGTTACAGAAGTGCCAACTGCCAGGTAATAAATCAATCCAACCTGAGAACCCAAGGAAAAGCCCCAATGTCTCCAGTGTGACCAGGGGTTGCAGCCAATCCTCCTATGCAGCAGGGGAGACCCCAGCGCTGCTCCTGCCAGCAGGGCCTCTCCACATCTGCACTGAGCTGTGCCTTGACAGAGGAGAACAGAACTGAGTAAGTAGTGATGCACAGCACCCACCACACTGAAGTCTCATCACGCTGTGTCTCTTGTTACACATTCCTTCCCCTCCTTTAAGACACCAGGGTAATCCCCTCAGCACATGGTGTCTTCTCTGAGATGTCACCCCAGGAATACACTCCATGCCTTCAGCCACCCAGGGATGTGAGTCCAGAAACCTCACTGCCAAAACACGATCAACATCACAAGGGAAGAGTCAGGTGGGTTCAGCTCTCTGGAATGAGGAGACCACCCTCCCCGCCCTGCTCTCACCTCTACAACATCTCCATAGGCAGAGCGGTGGGGTTAAGAACCAGACCCCACAGGGAAAATGTGAAAAAATCACACACACTAACAGAACCCAAGAGATTATTTTATTCATAGGTTTGGTCTAAATAGTTGTTTCACTGGCAAGACTTCTTGCCTCTTCACGACTGTCTGGTACCAGATGGGCATTTTTTTGGGTATCAATTCTGAGAAAGCCAAACAAGCAATACAACTGACTGCTCCTAGCAGTGATGGTAAAGCAGTTTGAGTTTTGTTTTCCAGGTTTTCTGATTAATCAGCAACCCCATTTTCTCATTTCAAACTGTCACACTTCTCACCAGCTGCTGCACATCCTTCTCAGACAAGTTTTAATTTCAGCCCCACCACTAGAAGCTGGTGAAGTTCAACACCATGGGTTGCATGCAGGGCAACCTGCCCTGGTCCTCCTCATCCCTCTCCACATCTCCTGGATACTTGCCAGCTACATCCCACCTTGGCATCATTTTAAGTAAAGGTATGTAATTAATGCACTTGGGCACCTCAGAGAGAGCTCCAGGAGTGCACACTGGGCTCAAATTAGATATTCCGGTTACAGAAAGTTAACAACACCACGGAGATAAATGCCACCCCCTTCAGAGTCCTGAAGAGCTAAAGCCTCCTACTGAAAAGCCCACACCGAGGCAATGGGCTGGGCTGCTCTCGCCTGTGGAAGTCCAAAGCTCCAGCTCTAACGTGAGTTTGGATCCCTGCGCTTGGTTTTTGCCCCAAAGCAAAGCCCCAGAGAAGCACAGCACACTCCACCATCAGGATGTTCTGCCCAAGTTCTCACATGTGCCCGCAGCAGCAGGACCCAGCAAGTTGCCTGCTGGAGCCAAGGAGCACGAGAGATGGGAACCATGACACTGGGAGTTATATTGGAGGGTTTTATTAGTTCTTCCGCAGAATCAAAATATTTAGCAAATTAGAGATTCCTCAAGACTGCTGATACTTTATGTATTTAGAACTTGAACAATGTACAACGTAATACTTTGAACTATCAAAAACAACCCCAAACCTGATTTGTAGTACTAGATGTTATTATGTAATTCTATAGCAGTGTGAAAAATGGAACTAATGCAGTGAGTACATTTGTTTTAAAGAAAGTGCTTGAAAGAAACCTCCTGCATCACACTGAGTATTATTTATTTAAAACAAAAAGATAACTGATTTCCTAGCAGGGCATTGTCTTAAATATCCTACAAGCCTGGGGGATTAAGAATACTGAGCCCCAGCTCTCTGCCTTCACGTTAAAGAACCAACACAAGTTGCAGGTCCAGGTAGAGTTCACAGCTTACCTACTTCAAGGGAACTTACACACCACTGAGCCTTGGACACTCATGTCTGGCAGAAGTGTTGGATGCATGGTTAAAAAACAAAAACCAAGAGGACTAAACAAGGTTCTCTCTTTATGCATAGTGACAGTTTCTGAACCAGTGTTTTACTAAGTTACAGACTAGCTTTCAACCAAAAAATAAAACTCC